CGAAGGAATTTTTTCTGAGTGTTCGATCTTTGTATTAATAATTATAAACCTTTTTTTCTAAAAATTTGGTCAGCCAATGGAAGAAAAGGTATACCTAAAATAATTCCACATTAGAGTAGGGCAATATCATAATCCCTGACTGTCGATGTAATTTCTCCGCGTTATATCACGGTATGAAAACAATGAGCAACGTAACGCAGATTTTAATCTCAGATATGGAAAAGGCAAAATGGAGGTAGACTTTCTGGAGCCACAGATGTAATTATGCAGACGGGGGGTCTCGACCTGTTGGCATTTGGTCTCATGTATATGAAGCTAAGAATTTAACAGCTCATTCTTCCAAGCTCAATGGAAACGTAGACGTGCAGCAGGAACTTTGTATGGTAAAAATTAATTTGTCAACACATTGCAGCTTGCACGGAAAAAAAAATTGTCATTGCATCGGGGTTCGCCTTGGATTCAACAATTACGACGGTAGCTAAAACGAAACATGCTTTGATTATAATAGTCACAGTATCTGTTTCGAAATTCATAGTTCTCATTACGACGTCAAACGCGTCTTTAAAGTTTTAGAAAGATTAAGATGTAACATTGTCGTCAAAACAGATTAATTAGATAAAACATTTAGTTAACTAATTTTAAATTATTAAATAACGAGCACTTGTCAAATGATGTGATATGGAAATGCATTTTTGCTGCATTCTAATTGATGTTTTTCATTGACGTACAATTAAATAATAACGACGAAGAAGTATTTCAGCTGAACATAAATTTCTAAAAGTTATAACATAATTATAGTTAAATACCAGTAACAAATGAAATTAAGGTTGAAAATAACACATACTAAAGTAATAATAATATACATAATATTATTGAAAGTAATAATACTCAATCGAAAACAAGTAAATACAATAAAGTATATATTTATTAAACATTTGCAAACAAGGAAAACGATTACAAGATTGTAGTGGTCAAACAAGATACATAGAGAATATAGTTGCTTAAAGCTACCATCAATTAGTAAAATATATCGAGGTGAAATTACAGGAGGGTGAAATGGAAATTTATCGAGGGGTGAGATGGTATAACCTAGTACCAGGTACAACTTTATGGATACCGAAATTCCTGAAGGTGATTCTTTAGGGAACAATATCTTCGGCGGATATGTTGGATATTGCAAATATAAAATAAAAGATTTCTTTTATGTAGTAATATAACTCCAAAGACAATGTAAAATGAACAAAACAAATTTTAATGGAAGGAAATGTAGATTACAAAAAGCGTTTTCTGCAACAACTATGTTTGCAAGGCAATTTCCAAGACTAGTAAAAAGTAACATAAGTAGGTATGTGCAGTATCGAGAACAATAATAAAAAAAAATCAAGATTACACTTGGCATTGAAAGATCGAGGAAAATCTAAGATCGTAACTAATCAAAGATGAATATGGCATGAACACACGACTAGAATCACCTTATAAAGACAATATTAGGATAATACTTGAATACATGTGATAATTACACTCCAAATACGTTTCCGGATTATTTCGATGTATGAGCCTGTTTAAGGCTAGAGTAACTATTCACATAACATTATACTCTCGGCTTTTAATAAAGTTAACATATTAATATTTCCAAAACCGTCGCCTGGCGTGTTTATAGGCAAAAGGTTAAATCTATTAATATTCTGCTGGCCCATCAAACCGGATAACAGTAGTCATAAAAACGTCTAGCGAAGATAATCTTTATACTGGTGTTATTGTTGATAACATTTTACAAAATACATGTATAATACGTGATGAAATGCATTAATAACTTAGGTACTCGTGGTTACAAAATACTACTCAAATCGTATAATTTATAGAAAAATACGCCAATTGAAATATTTTCCTCAAAAAACCGTGTTGGATTAGAGAAGAAAGCGTATCTAAATTACGAACTTAATTATGACCCACAATTGGCGTGAACGCAATAAAGCACAAAATTACTTCCTATTTGAGCATACATCCAGTGATGATTGCACAGTAAAAATAAATATTTTTATTAC